TCTCTAACATTCTGTGATTCTGTGCCCCTTTAGAAAAAGCTACTAAGCAATTATTAGACACACTGTGAAATTAATAGCAAATTACAATTATCCAGTCATGACCAAACAATAATCCCCTCCCTCTCACAATTGCTCATGAATATTTGATAAAGAACAAACAAAGGCAAATCTAGACCCTTCAGATTGGAAAACTCAGTTTAAGAGAAGCCAGATGAAGAAGACTTCTGCTGTACATGTTACCTACAACAGCTAAATGAAAAGACAGAATACAGAGGGAGGGTTATTAAAACTGGCAAATTACAACTGATGTTGCAAAGTAGTTTACTTAATAGCAACTTTGGAATGAAACTCTGCATATCATAAGGTTACACGTGCAGTGAATTATATGACTTAGTCCTCTCTCAAGCTACTTCAACTAAGTGCAGTATGTTTAGCCTCCCTCAATGTACTTCTCCAGTATTTGTTTCCATGAAGAAGCAATACTCCAAGCAGCTAGCATTCTTCGTCTCCAACTTCTCCTGCCTCTTAGCAAATAACACAGTGAAAGACTATCACTGATAAATCTTTCTCTTCTCATAGTGCAAGATGAACACTAGGTAAAACCCCAATACCACACCACATTAACAACTGTGACTTACCACCTGAAGTTTTCTTGTTACTGTGATCTCTCTCCAATTTGGAAACAGGAGTAGAAGAAAGGCGTCTTGAAGAAGACACTCCTCTGCGTGGTGGTGTTAAGGGAGTTTTAAAGACATCAACCTGCCCCATTTTTTTGATGTATTTTTCATCTCTTTGACTGCTCAGGGGGGAATGCTGGGAGCTGGGATTATCCTCTGGAAGTTCATGCTGCGTAATCAAGGGAGGTCTGCTAATAGCACACTGTAGAGGTAAAGGGGACTGCTTCTTTCTGGGTGTTCTGCTTGCAGCTGCATCCTGCATGACTCTGTGTTGGTAGTTCCTGTAGGCTTCTTCCAAATATTCTGCCTCTTTTTCTAGTTCTTTTATCCTAGCCCGGGTTTGCACCATACACTCCAGGTCAGAATCTGGAGAAGCACTGCGTGGCTGTAACTGCTGACAATAGCCAACTCTTGGCACAGCATTTACCTTCGTCACATTGGTCATAATCTGATTCTTCAGGAAGGCACTATCCACATAAATATCATGAGGTACAATTCTGTCACCAGTGAAGTCAAGGACAGAGCGGTCAACAAGTGAAGGTTTTGGATTCCGATACACTTCATTTTCCAGAGCTAAATGACAGCAAGAGAAAGTAGGTGAGAGTAAAGAGTGAGCAAAGGAGACTCAAAATGAACAGATACAGTAAAACATGGCATTTAAATTCCAATTTGATCAAAATTATTTCAACATGGAATTGCCTTAAATTTTGAGAATTTAATGGGTTGGTTTAAATATATTTTATCTACATAGCTGCTAATTATCACTGATATATTTTTTAATATACAACCCTTACATGTGAAACTACCTGAAGTATGCACTCTAGAAGGTTATTTCTTAAATGATGTTTAAATAAATAAAATAATATCAAAAAGAAAACAGCACCATTTTGGACACATTCTATTCAAGCACGCTGTTAAAGGGTGAGGGACATACAGCAGGCCACGAGTCTTAACAGTTTCCTGCTATTTAGATCAAACAAGAAATTTGTAGAAAAACAACATAGCATAAAGTTGCTGCTTTTTAAAAAAATGTACTTCTCCGAAATTGTCAGTTAAATTGAATATTTCGCATCTGCTTCCTGGCTTGCACTTGTATGCTTCAGCAAGCCCAGATGACCCATCTACAGGGCTGTATCTTTCTCACCAAAATGACACCCTTGTTTTCATTCTGTGCAAATGGTTCTTCAATGACATCCTTAACTCTGATGCAAAATAAAAGTCCACGCAGTACTTTCAGTCATTTAGTTAAAATATGTATTTGCTATTTTGACACTAACAAATTTCCAATTCGAAATGGTACTGATACTTGTACCATATATGAAAATACACATATTGGTCTAGTTAACAATGTAAAGTATTTAATATACTGAACTATGGTGCAACACATGCTGTATGTAATGCATAATCATTGCAGAATTCAGTTCCATACATTTAGATTAAATATACATCCCAAAACTTATATTTATCATACTTGATATTAGCAATTTGACAGATAAGCATCTTTATAACTGCATTTCTTCAGCGAATGGAATTGCTTTACGCAGGTTCCTCTCTCTTTCTAATGCCCATAAAAGTTGCATAAGTTATTAGCCTTGACAACAACAGTTTAAAAGTTAGATTTAAATTAGTGAGGTATGCAATACAATTTCAAATTGATTGTTATTATGAACATTCAAGAATCAAAATTAACTAAAACACAACTCTCCTCCTGGAAAATAGTGATCATGTTATCAAACATTAATGACCTCATACTGAGGAAAAACAGACAATAATAACATACAAGCATTCAGGGAGGAATGTCTTCCCTTCCTCCTGTATGTTTGTTTTCTGAAAGGCAGGGTAGTTGTAATCAGTCTGCTTTTTAAATTGGGCTTTTAAATAGATTTTGATTTTAAACTTGAAATCTACTCACTGGTGGTATGTTGGTTCTATGCAACTGCAGCTTTTTTAAGCTTCTGGAAATTTTTACACTGGTTATGTAAGTGAACTTCATGAAGGACTGCTCTGGTGTAAGATACAAACCTGCCTGTGTTTGTTTCACCTGTAGACTCAGTTCTTCAACCTGCACATTTAACTTCCTGACAGTAGCTTCGGAGTCCAGCAGTTGAGTCTTTAACTGGGCACAACGCTCAACCTACAGGAGATTGAGAGAAAAGCAAAACCCAGGATAATTCAAACAAAAAGAGTAATCTCAGATGGTTGAATACTTATTTCTAAATGTTTTTCAGGTCCAGTCAAACCATATACACATAGTATCCTACTGAAAGTCAGTGCTGACAACCTAATGACTTGGAAAGATTTACTTTGGTTATGTTGGGTTGGGGCTTTTTTTGGTAATTTTTGGGTGTGTTTTTTGTTTGTTTTCTTTAGAGATGTTTACACAAAAATAAGCAGAGTACAAACAATTCCTGTAACTACAGGCTAAACAGTCTACACAGGTACATAAACAAACATGAACAAGATGACAGCAAGGAAGGATTCAAATTATTTAGAAAGATTACCTCACTTTGTAGCTGCTTTTCCAAAATCTGCTTCTGACTTTCAAATTCATCCAGTGCCAGCTTCCTAGAATGTTCCACTCTCCTCAGTTCTATTTGGCAGGCCAGGTGCTCTGCCGAGGGCTGTGACAGCTCTACCCAGAAACAGAAATACTAGACTTTCAGCTGTAGAATAATGAGTGTGCACTTTTCTACATGATACCCCTTCAAAATGTAAACCTGATTTGTTTTTAGGAACATAACAAGACTTTTTTTGAATTAAGTACTTAGGGATTTTTTTCTTCCTTTTACAAAAGACTGACATTTTTGTTGGCACAGTCATTTAAGAACTAGACCCAGACTGTCCTATTCTGGAAAAAAAATACATATCCGTACCTTACATAACTGGGTGTACATCTCTACTCTCCCATGATCTCAAATGCACATTAAAAATACTTGGCATTTTATAACTACAGTCAGGTAAGCACTTACAAATAATAATTGAATGCTCTTTTACCATTATTAACCATGCTAATGCCATGGTTAGAAATATTGCACTGCTTTTTTCAAAGGGTGAATGGGATATTCTTCATATTACTATAGCTACCACTTAATTCAGGATTTCTACTATACAGACATATTAAAATAAAAAACTTATAATGTCAAGGACTGTTTCATTTTACACAAACATTAGTTGGGGTTTAACACAAACTACTAGTAAACATAATACAAAGAACATATTTTAATTTAAATTTATGACTAAACAAATATTTGTAGGGAAGCATAAACAAGAAAATTACTAAATCATTCACACTGACTGTCTCGAAGGTGCTGGTTCTCACTGCGAGTCTCATCCAACTGTTGCCTAAGTAGTTTATTCTGTACTTGGAGCTCCAACTTCTCCTCCTTTAGCAAAGTATAGTCTGATACCTCTTTCAGTTTTTCTGTCAACAACTGATTCTGTTTATTTACCAACAGAACCTGGGCCTTCAATGACTCTAAATCCAGCTGCAGATAAAAAACAGTTTAGAAGCTTATGAACTGCTGTACTACTTCACAATTACTTTTATTTCACATTTTATGTTTTTTTTAAACTGTACCTCCAATGCACTAATTAGAATACAGCTTCTTTAAATACATGTTTACAATTACCTCAAGCTCTCTTGTGCGTGACACAGCTTGCTTGAGTTCCTCCTTTTTTGAATTAACAGCAATGGCTTCTTCATGCAAAAGCATGGCTCTCTCTGCAGGGGGGATTACAAATGCTGAATTAAAATTAGTAGAATATTACAGCAAAAAACTGTACCAGCAAAAACCAGTTTAAGCTGCTAAGCCCAATATTCAATTTAATTTCAGACATAAAAATGACAATGTCATACACACTCCTTCAAAATTAAGTAAATCACAGTGTGTATATATACATACGCATACATATACTCCTTTAGAATTAAGTAAATCAAATTCATATGCACATGATATATAATTTCTTTCACATGTCCCTAAATTAAAAGTCTAAATATGTTATCTGTCCCAGCTCTCTTCCTCAAGCTCCAATTAAACATCTTGTGCACAATAAGTGTAGAAGCTGGCAACCACTCAAGGGTATGGTATCAGACTCTACCAGAGTTCAATTACAGAATGAATGAGCTAGTAGGACTTCAGAAGGAGATGGGAAACAGAAAAAGCAAAACACTTTGCAGCCTCTATGCGGAGCAGCAGCCCACGGTTCCCACAGTATTCTGAACAGCAAGGAGTTCCTGAACTGCCACTGGATCTTGCTACACATTTTCCAAATCTATTCTGATGGCTTTTCTGACACTTAGGCCACGTTACCGAACATCATGACTTTAGTAACAACAGGGTTTTGATACCTGTTAGTAAAAGCTCTAAACAGCTACTTTATTAATCTCAGATAGATGGTTACCTTTATTTTTTTTCTCATCTTCAGTAACTTTATTGGTTCTGGCTATGTATTCTTCTTTTAATTCAAGCTGATATCTAGAAGTAAAAAGAATTATGTATTCCAAAAGTATGTGTTTGCGCACATGAGCATGCATTTGTATAAATTCTGGTCTTTCCCAGACTAAACTATAATCACACAATTATTTATTGTCAAAATTAGTTATTGCAGAGCCTCTGAAATGGTTGAAAAGGGCCCCGCCAATCACCTAATTCAACCACCTCCTCAAAAAGCAAGACTACTGCCAACTCTAGGGCAGGTCAGCTGTGGCTCTTCCTAGCCAATCTTGAAAACCTCAAAGGATGTATACTCCACCACCTCCCTGGATGACCTGTGCCAATGCTGCACTACCCTCCCAGTAATTTTTTCCCCTCCTCATCCAAGCTGAAGCTCCCAAGCCACAATTTATGACCCCTGCCATACGAACTCAGAGATCACATCTGACAGCCCCATAACTATCTTGACAGACCTTTACTAGGGCCCTCTCCAGTTTCTTCATTACTTTCTTGAACTGAGGAGCCCAAACCCGGGCATGGTATTCCCAGCACAGCCTTCACCAGTGCCTGAAGGGGGTAACAACCTCCCACAGTCTGTTGGCCATGCTGCTAGTAACGTTGCCCATCATGTTGTTTGCCTTACTTGCCAGAGCGTGCTGCTGGCTCATAGTCAGCCTGGCGCTCACTGCAGCTCCCACGTCTTCTTCAGAAACACAGCTCCTCAGTCAATTCCTGTTCCCCACTTATACTACTTCACAGGGATATTCTGCCCTGAGTGCAGAGCTTTGGAGTTCTCTTGTTAAAATTCCTAAGATTTATGTTGACACAATTCTCAAGTTTGTCAAAGTCTGTCTGAACTGAAACTCTGCCATTTGTTGTGGAAGCCATTCGCCTTTACTAAGCATCATGTTAAAAGCTGTTGAGGATGCCCTGTGTCCTGGTTTCAGCTGGGACAGAGTTAACTTTCTTCATAGTAGCTAGCAAAAGATCTCTTTGAAACGGAGAGTCCTGAAACCGCAATCCCCGAACAGAGATAAGAGCCCAAGTGTCTGAGAGACCAAGACAACCCTGACAGAAGGGTGACCCAAAGGAACATGACCCAGACCAAGAGAGAGACCTTCCAGACAGAGCCTCAACTACACTCGGGGCATGACATGCATGGTATAGAATATACCATTGGCCAATTTGGTCTCAATCCTAAACCTAAGGTTGAATCCTAGGCTAGTAATTGGGCCTGTGCTCCCTCCCAGCTTCTCCCACACCTGCAGACACTGGCACAGCAGAGAAGCTGAAAAGTCCTTGACTGTCCTGGCAGCAACTGTAAGCATCAGTATGTTATCAGCCTTCTCCTCAGCACAAATCCCAAACACAGCCTCACACTAGCTACTATGAAGAGAGTTAACTCTGTCCCAGCTGAAACCAGGACACCCTGTGTCAACATCCAGATGATGGATGAAGGCATTGGACAGTGTGGGTCCCAGTACTGGCCCCAAGGGTTCTCTGCTGGTCATCAGCCACCAGCTAAACACTGAGCACTGCCCAGGTACACCACTGTTCACAGCCCAGCCATCATCCAACTTCACTATTCAATTTTACTGGAATTTACAGGCACTAAGAAAGCTCAGCATTTTGCCTGACTGGGACATAGGTTATAAATGTTTTCAGATATTGCCATATCCATCCTCCTTCATTTTTGCAAATGGTCCAGACCACTCAGATGCTTCTCCCAATTACGGCATTTAACACTTACCGTAGAAATAAAAAAAGATTCATTTTCTAATAAACATCTATCTCTATACAATAAGCAGTAACTCTTTGCTACTTTTCATCAAGGATTTGGGGCAAAGGGACACAAATCGTATCTTTCTGAGCATTTGCAGCAGGTCTAACGCTTTTTATGTTGATAAAATAAGCTAAGCAGCAGTTCATCCTTAAAATAATTTGTTACTCCTCGTGAACCAAAAGAACTTTACAAGCTTATTTGTACCTAGCTGTTATGGACTAGGTAAAATAAGATACCAAGCTGGGTCAATTAGTTGCATTTCACTGTTCTCTGACAAAACCCTCAAATCTGCTCAGTTTCAGCTGAGGCTTCATTCTTATCAAAACATATTCTTTACATCTTTCCTCTGTAATTTAAATAAAGACACATTAACACAGATAATATTTCACTGGCTTGCAATAAAAAGTAACGATGTATCAGTCATTTGGTTTAACACCCAACTGGAAGACCAGTTTATGCCATCAAATACTTCAGTAATAACCTGCCGAGAGCACCCGCCTGCACTGAAGTATCATGTAACCCTTCAAGTGACTGAAGCACTCCAAGAAAGTACAAGAGCAAAGTTAGGATATACCCACTGCAACACCTCAGAAGCATTCATGATTGATGTCTTACACTTTCATAGGGCATTTCTAGGCAACTTCTTTGAAACCATGTTCAAGCAGATGGTAGTCAGTAAGAAAGGGTGATCTATAACAGAGAATCCCTCTCGAAAAACAGGGAGGGGTTAAAGTAAGAGCCAGTCTATCTGTACAATGGGCTAGGGAGCCTCTCACCCTTTTTCAAAGAAACCTGTAACATCTCTTTAATGCTAATTTCCCCTCCATGCCTTTTCTGCATTCGTAAAATGGCCAGTTCTTTTAATTGTGGTCAAAGGAAGTCACTAATACTGCTTCGAATCCTCTTGTCTAAATGCGCAACTAATGTCATGTCTCTTTCCCAGAAAACAACACAGGATTTAAACTACAACAATAATATTACCTATAATCAAAAGAGAATTATTTTCCATAGCAAGATTTTTCTGAACATGACAGAACATTTTGTCTTACTAGCAAAGAGTTAAGCAATAACATAAAGAATTAAAGCTGATTAAAATAAAAACATGAGTGCACATTTTCAAAGTCCTTGCTTTGTTGCATTTTTCAAAAGAAATCCTATTGAATTCGTTATTCTGTTTTTATAAGAAGTAGCATGTGTCCTGTTAGAGACAAAAGAAAAATTTACTTTAAGAGTTCCGCCTTAAGCTTTTGGTCATATGCCTCTTCTATGTTCTTCACAGCAACCTCCCGACGTCGAAGTGCATCATCAATAGCTTTATTTTTTTCTTCCTGAAGTTTCTGAGTGCTGAAATATCCATAAATATACAGACAATGACCAGTTATAAAGCCAAACTTTAGGTTTTGTTTGTTTTGGGTTTTTTTAAATACCATTTGGAGACATCAAAGGGTAACATGTTGCTTGGAACACTTTAGTAATTTAGAATTATCATCAGCTGTCATTGTAATTCACTAAGAACAGGAGATGTGACACAAACTAAATTGCCCTATTTAAAAACCAGTACCAATCAATTATGCAGCTATCCCGGGTTAACCCTAGCTCAGTTTCCCACACCAGAAAGCCTTCAGAGGAGATAGTCCTGAGCGTGCTATTCTACCAGCACCCTCTGCTGGCTTGTTAAAAAAAAAAAAAAAAAAAAGAAAAAAGCCATAACAAGAAGTTTTTGTTAGTGGGATACTCATTTTGCTATTAAAAACAGATGACACAGTAACAACATTAAGTAGTATTGAAAACCTGGCCAAAAATGCTTCAGGTTTTTTTTGTTTGTTTGTTTGTTTTTTTTATTTAACCAAAGAAAACTGATCTTACTAAGAACAAGTTAAAAAAAAACCAACCAAAACCACAGGACTAAAGAAAGAAAATATCATATACATGCTTCATAAGTGTTAGGATTACGTACTATGTTGCGTGGTTTCTGGTTTTTTTAGTGGTTTTTTTTTTTTTTTTTTTTATTTAAACACTTCAGAGCAAACAACTGATTCCCTGACTCCAAAGTTATGCTGCACTATTTTGGTCAGATCAGACGAGAAGCAGGAGAAAAAAAACCCACAAACCTTCTTTTTGTATGGGGCACTCCTGCTAATAGAGACAGTACACAATACCGCTCAAAATGGAAGATACAACTTCTTTGATACATAATTTATTTTAATGTAATAGAAACAGCAACATCTGAAAGCATACTTTCCAGAGAAAGGATATCATTTAGCATTTTATATGTCCTTCAATAACTTACAGTTCAAATGCCTCAATTCTTTGCTTCAGTTCCACCTCTCTGGTCCTTATGAGTTCAATATCTTTCAGCAGACTTTGTCTCTGAGCGTACACTTCCTTTGCTTCTATCTGAATCACAAAATATTATCGCTAGTTCTACTTCACACTTTATACAGGAATCTACTACTTAACAGATTCAAACTTTCAAGGATCTTTTTCAGGATATTCCCTTTCTCCTTTTACTCTGAGTAAAAACGTGTTAGATGGAGTTATTACCTATAAACTCTTTTCTTTAGGAAATAGCACCTATTAAAACTTACATAAAAGGAATAATTGTTTTAAAAAATTTACAGAATAAACACATTAATTCTTCTAAAAGAACCATAGTTTTGCATGTTCTTCATAAAAACAAAATAGAAAAAATAAATGCCAAAAAACCCTGATAAAACAAGATTAAAACTGAAACTGAGTCAACCAGCAGTCTTTCAGTTTTTGCAGTTTAACCTATAGAAATCAAACAAATTGTAAAAGGAATCCTCCAAGTGACGAACATGCTAATACTAGAAGTCACATATCCTATTATTAATAAAAAATCGCTTTTCTTGTCCTTAAGCACACAAGGTATTATTTATCTCTAAAGAAATAATAGTGCCTAAGAAGAAGAAAACTACATTTTGCCTTATGGGTGCTCATATCAAGTTTGCAAGTCCTGCACTGGACGGTGCTGAAACACTTAGCTGCTGTTCCCAGCCCAAAAAGGAGAGCACTTGGTCAAGCCATATTTCCTGGGCATAAAGCTATAATCCAAGAAAGACCTGAAGGTAAATCTCCTACAGACAAAAGAACAGTTTAATCAACTCTCTGAATCATTTTGTACTAGATTAAGAAAAAAAGTATTTGGAACTTTACCTCTTGTTGTTTTTGAAGCCTCTCAATAGCATTCTTTTCACGAGAAATCAAGGCTTCAGACTTTGCTTGATGCGTCCTCTCTAACTCATGACGTAGCTCAGCAATTTCTTTCTGGGTCTGCGCTTTCTCCTCCATTTTAATCTTTGCTATTTCAACTTCTTTGAAGTGTTCTAGCTTTTACACAAAGGAGGAAGAGAGGGTTAAGCAGGGCCATCTTCAAATTGACAAAGACAATCCCTCCTCAGACAATTCTAAATTTCACTTAGAAATTCCTGTTAGGAAATATACAATAGTTCAATGAAATTGAATTGCTGTGACAAAAGTATTCTAGCCACACATAGTATTTGCATGTCTCACATAGTTTTCATGTGTTTGTCTGGCATCCCAAAGCAGATCTGATATAAAACTAATAGCTTCAGACAAGAGCAAAACAGAGGCCTATGAAGAAAAATACACTGCAGGAGTGATACTGTTCGCAGTTAAGGAATGACCACACTATTTAATTCCTCCTCTGACACTGTCTCTATTCTCGCCCCTTTCCCAAAGAACCACTTTTGACTGGTGATGGAAGAAATGGCAGAAGCAGGCCTGTCCTGAAGTACTCAGAAACAACCAATTCATCTGGACAGTAAAAAAGTGCATATAAACATATAAAAAACATATAAACATCTAACATATAAAACATATAAAAACATATAAAAAACGCAGAACATATAACTCCACATTAAGAGGGTTACAGAAACAGAAGTCCTGATTGACAGGCTTCTTAGCACAACTGAAAAAAAAGTAAATGCATACAAACAGGGCAGTACACATCTCGCAACTGCACAGAATAATCATCGGGGACATGCCTCCATACAATGTGTGAAGTGCAATATATGCAACAAAAAATGGGGTTATAAAGAAAATAGAAAGGAAGCATACAAGACAAAAAATGTGAGAAAAATGAGCAAAAGAATAAAAAGAGAATGCTAGAAAAATTGTGAGACTGGAGAAAACGAGTTTAAAGAAGGGGAAAAGCATAGTAGCAATGTGTGATCAAGGAATTCAGGTCTGTGGACATAAATTTTGTGAAAAATTGAACGGTGAGACAGTACAGCATCACTTGTACATACACAAATTGGATTAGATATGTTGTACAGTAACTCATGTCACATTGCTAAGGAATACATGTAAAGTTAATTGAATTTAGAAGTAATTTACATCTGTTTAAGATTCCAGTACCCTTTGTTGCAACTGCTTTGTTTAAACCGAGACAAACTTAAAAACACATGAATTAACGTTTTACATACTAAAAAGACAGTGCCTGTTGGGGAGTAAAGACTAAATGAGAAATGAAGGTAAAATACATTGCAGTCTTAACTCTGCATCCTTCTACTTGTCTAGCTGACTAGATATGACTAAACTGATCTCCTCAAACAGTTTATATGCAGATGACTGCCTTTAAAAGTGTGTCTAAGAATTCTGATTATCAGATTATAATTTTTATATCCAAATAAACTATTGATTCATGGAAAAACATTTAAATGAACTAAAGTTAATTTAAATTCCTCTATCCAAGAAAACTGTTGATCTTGACAGAAATGCATAGAAAAAAACCCTATTTAAACGAACTGCAGTATATTCTCTCTGCTCCCTTTTCCAGACATAACAATTCTTGACGGATTATGTGACCATGTGACCAAAAAAAAAATCCCAATTTTAATCCCAAAAATGAAGGAAAATTCTCTAAAAAAGCTGTCTTCAATTATAGGAAGAAAAAACACCACAGAAAGAATTCGTAATACTGTGCTATGATTTTAGTGTTTACGTGTAATGTTTTGAAATAATATGCAAATTCTCATCAGTATATTAACTCAACAATCTGTCAAACTACACACCAGCAATTCACACCTCTCAACTGCTATGCGTTGTATTGAAATTCAAGCTTGAAAATCTTAACTGGGAAGGAAAATGAACAGTATGACTAAGCAGAGTAAACATTTCAGCATAAAACAAAATAATCAAAGAGCAAATAAAATTCACCAAATTAAGACTATCAATATTAGAAAAAGCTGTGTTACAAATTAACATCAGAATAAAAAGTTTAACATTCTGTGCACATGTAACAAAAAAGGGGAATGGAAAATATACACATGCTACATCACCAAATTGATATTGGATTAACTTAGCCTTTTGTGTTTGTTGTAAATCACTATTAGATCTTTCAATCTACCTTAAGTATTAAAAGTTTGTAACATGCAAAGTCGAAATTAATAAATGTCTCCCTCAAATTCAATGACCAGAGTTATACCTTTTGAAACATTTCTGCTTGAAGCTGCTTCTCTATTTCTTTTCTATATTCATGAAGTTTTACTTCTAAAGATTTGTATTTCTGGTGCTGGGGATAAGAGTCTGCAAACTGTTCATCAATCAGCTGAAGTTTCTCAGCTACAAAAAGAGCAACATATCCATCATAATCTGGAAACAGACACCACAGTTATCCTGCCAAAGACTTTAGGAACCCGTCTCTCGGTAGGAAGTTCCCTAGTTTACCCAAGTAACACTGTCATAGAAAGACCTGTGTGGTACAAAAGCAGAGGCAGCACAGAAATGCCATTTATCAGCTCTACGCCACACAACATATATCTAGGAAGAGGCACCTAGCTGTATAGGCACTATTTGTGGTATTACGTATTCATTCATCTTCTTCATCATGCATGGAAAATAATTTTCTTTTGTATGCAACTTTTAGCTTTTCTGTATTACTAACAGCATGCATATGATAACTCAAGAACTCCCAGTCTATTCTTTTCACTGAAACACTATAATAGAAAGAGAAGCAAAGCATGCATTTACAATTCTGTTTTCCAGAACACATTTCAGCAAATAACATTTACAGTCCATCTAAGATATTATCTCTCAGCTAAATGCCCAAGGAAACCTGAGTGATTTAAAAAAATCCTAACGGGACTTTTGCCTTAAGAAAGGTTAGAAAACTAATGTACTAGTGAGAGGTATGACCTTTACTTATTATGACTTTAGACTGCGTTTGAGTAAGTGATGAATGAATAACATTCATACAATTTATTAATCCATACCATTTACGAATAGGAAAATATCTGGGGAGACTTGCTTGCAGAGGTTGCACTTACCAAGAGATTCTCTGTAAGGAGGCACTGAGGTTGTCTGAGTTTCTGTGTCACGAGTTTCCTTACTTAGATGATGTTCTGTAAGTCCAATTAAAATCTGCATAAGAAAACCTATCAAGATCCAATATATTAGTTAGTTCTGGTTTCATACCAAGACTGAATTTTTGAGCCTGTAATTAATGAAGTCATTTTCACAGTACAAGAAAACCTGTTCAATACAAAAAAAACCCCACAGGTATTTTAAGTAAAAATCAACACTAGTAAACTACTAAGATTTTTATTATAAGCATATTCCAGTCTATCTCATTCTGCAAAAGCTGTCCTTTTGCAACTTTTCCTTTCATCCATTTCTCTTTGTTTCATTGACTTCCAAGGTCATTTGAGAAAGCAGATTATTACTATTCTAATTATGAGGTCATTAGGCAACAGGGGTTTCCTGAAGATCAAGCTACTTTAGGCTATACAATATAGCTAGGTTTCATCATGCAGACATAAGAATTATTTGTTACATAAAACAATGGAAAGTCAATTAAATCTTTAACTACTTTTTGAAGTACATTATGCAAGCTAATACAAGCAATACAATACAAACCAAAAATCTGAGCTTACCAAAGTTAGCATGACAAGTTTACAAAGAGCATTATATTTAATACTCGATTACAGATTTTTTTCATATTTCTAATGTTCAAGTAATTTATTTTGTAGGTATATGTTAACACTTAATCCACACCACAAATAGGAGCTGGATAATCCTGAAATATAATATTGATCATCCTGATGTACTGCAAGTTTCAAAATGTTACTGAATCCATATTATTACATAGCAACATATACTCAAGAAATCTGAATTTCTATTGCTCGCGTCTTAATAAAAATGAAGCTGACGCAACTATCCTTGTCTGCATCATGTATAAGCATCTTGTACCTTTATTTTCCTTCTGAGTTCCCGAAGTCTGTAAGAAATAAAAGATATTTTAGCCAGTCCTTTTCATCACAATTGTCATTTAAGCTTATTTTCAAAACCAAAATAACTTTACCAGTGAATTGTAAAGACTGGATTTTGGATTGATCCTCATTAATTGAAGAAGATCTTGCATAGTCCACAGCTTTGAGGGGAAAAAAAGACAAGCCAATAAAGGTTAACTACTGTAAAAACATTTCAAATATGTAATAGGCACTATTTTACATTGTAGAATATTTTCCATTCAAGAAAAGTCTATTTATTGCCTTGTAAAACCATTTTCAAAGGTGTGCTGTTCTCGTACTACATTTACTCATATTCTCTACCTAAGACATACAGCAGCCAGTGTGTGGTTTCCCGAGCAAATGAAGCTGTGAAAAGCGATAGTTTTGTTTCTTCCCCACCCTGGATTCATGCTCTTGCTACTTTCCTCGCCTCTTTTCTTGATTTGTCATAGAAATCAGATAAGCTCATTACCCCAAATTATGACTAACTACTCAGCGGGTGAAAAAATTAATTTTCAGTTAGAAACAAGTATCACATACGCATAGAAGAGAAACAAAGAGAGGGCAAGGACTGCCCTTTTCAGCCACAGCTTGCAGTTAGAACAGCTTAAACTGATCATGAACCACATTTTAGGGAATTGAATGGCCAAGCAAGAGGCTAGCTTTAATCAAGATCAGTTCCTCAAGCAGTTTGCCACACAGCATCCCGAATAGTCGTGCCAGACCACAGCTACGGCTGAAGCAAATGAGAGGTTAAGAGGCTTGTGCTATGTCTTTCCGTAGCTTATTGTCAATTTAAAGCATTCATGAAAATGGCCTTCAATAATGAAATCTTTTACGGAGATTATCAGAAGCTGCACTTCACTGTCACAAAAGGGGATTTTTTTTTTCCAGTTCTGTTGGAATATAAACATATACCCAACTCCCCACACCCACCTCCCAAAAGTCTTAAAAGAAGTAAATTACTGAACTTACCTTCTTCTCTAATCCACTTTCTGGAAAGAAAACAGAAAGTGAATACTCATAGCCACACCTCTGTAGATGATCCGCCACCAAACTGTTGGAAGCTGTGATCAGAAGTGAACTGTCATCACTCTGAACAGCCTGTGGCTTAAGCTCTCCACTTAAAATTGGGTGCATTAGTTCATGGATTAACTGGTTTCGGAGCTGTGTCTGATACAGAAAAAACATTATATTCTCAGTTTGCATGTTATTAAATGAGAGTTTTTATTTTTCAAAACTCATGGGGAGTCCCATTTTACTTGTATATTACAACCTACGTAATAGAAATCAGCAGACCAACTTTGCCAAAATTTAGAAGAGTGCTTCAGATACCGTACCTTTCTTCAAAACACTCTAACTGTGGCTACAGTGGTCTTTGACTTTCCCTCAAGATGTATCAAATGTAGGACTGAAAAGAAGTAATTTTCTCAGTCAAGAAGTCACATAAACTCCAGTCTAGTACTGCCAGTTTCATTTTTCGATCACTGCTTTCCTCTTCTTCTCTCGGGCTTTAATAAAGCCTGCCTGAAGTGGCCTCAATTTCAGGGGTACTTTGAAAACTCCCTAGTCCTCTTATGAGTCTCATATCAAGAACCTGCTGATGCCACCACAAAAGCAGATAGGAAAAAACCCAGGAAATTCAATGTATTTAATATGAATTATTTTGTAGGGAAGCAAAAAGGTATAACCAAAAAAGCCTACAGGCACTAATAATAATTACATTACATTACATTTTTTAATATTTATTTGTATTCTATGAGTTACAATAGAGAAAAAAGTAACCTAAAATCAGGAGGTCTCCCTCCTGCAAAAGGAACATATAATGTTCTAAGTTTTCAACAGCAGGTATGCAACAGTGACAAAGTTGATTACAAAAACAGTATTACAAAAATGGGACAAAATACTAAAAGCTTACCTAAACTTAACAAAGCTAGATCATCAGACTAGCCTGATATTTTACCACAGTTTTCTAAAGAAATTAGGCTGACAACAGAGAGAAATGAAGGCAACTGAAAAAAATTGTTTTCCTTATTAATTTCTGAACTTGTCCAGTTTCAACCAACTTTGACAGAGATGATATTGTCACAAAAACAACTGAGACCAGCAACCTCTTATACAACTCTTGATAAAGTGCAGGTGGAAAACACAGAACTAAATTCTGGTCCCTACTATGGGAAAGGAAGGCAGAAATTGGCTGTTACACGTTGGCCATTCGGTTTACTTGTAGCTCCAGATCTGCCCAGCCTTTTACCAGCAGAGGCAGTCAGATAAGAGCACAAGAAAGTTGAGAGTATTCTCATTAGCAGATACAAGGGCATTTGCAGGAATCCATAAGAAACTCAACTGTGTTAATTCTTCAGCTCAGAAAAGACACAAAATATTTACTATGATGTACAATCTTCTAGACAAGGAAAACAAAGAAGGAAAATGGACTTAGATAGCATGCCACCTGACAGACTATGAGTAAAGTCAAAGTAGACAAGAAATGGTTCAAGCACTGCAAACCTGACAGGGAAATCACTAAGGGAGAAACAAGGTGTCGTGAACAGGGAGTTCTTGGCCATAAACTTATCAGTGCTATTCTTAAAATACAGATCTTGATTTTTAATTTTTTTTTTAAACTTTAATGAATTTGACATAAAAAGCAGGAACTACAAAAATTTGATGGTGACATAAAGATGTGTATAGAGGTACAGAAAGATCAAGAAGTCATAAAAAATTCCATCAGATGATGTTTAAAGACTAGCAAAACTGAAACTGCATGAAATACATTTTATCATTTAAGGCCTGATCCAAATTTTTGGCTATAACACAAGGGATTTAGCATTTGGAAAAAGCAAGACATGTATGTGCCAATCAATGACTAGCACTACAAATGTAACATGCCTCAAAAAGGACACATGCTGCCTTCCACAGATTTTCCCGCAAAACCAGGGAAGAATTAATACCATTCTAAACTTTCTCTGGAAAGCTCACAACAACCATGATCTGCTTCCTTTAAAAAAAAGGTGGAAAGACTTCAAAGTGATGTAGAGGACTACTGGGATAACCAGTAATGAGACTACCGCACCTCGATTTGCTTAGCACTGTAGAACAGAATGCTGAAGAAAAGGTATGACTGCTGCCTATAAATTCATCGAGAAGAGGAAGAGCTACCTAAACTGAAAGACACTTTCAGCACAAGAGGCCGGAACAACCATAAATAAAGCCAGGTTACAAACCAGAACAAAGATTCACTCTTGAACACAACCACGTTCTAAAACATTCTCCTCAATGAGCAGACCATGAGCAAAACAGCTCAAATAGTTTCAAAACAGCACTGACACACTTCAGGAAGGTAATTCACATAGCCTAATGACTTATAACTCTGTGACCTACGAGGTCCTTTCCAATCCTGCATTCTCATTTATTCCTCTCTTCCCCAGTTGACTTTTTTCTCAAACATATAAATTTTCAAAGCTACAATACATGGCTTTGACTTTCCTGGAAAAGACTGTTTCTAGACCTCCTCCCACCAAAAAAAAAAAAAAAAAAAAAGCCAACAAACCACCAAACCCCAACAAACCAAACCAACACACTATTAATTAGGCTGCGGGAAAACCAATACATTTGAGGAGAGAGAGAAGCACATTTAACCGGCATGACTTTCACGGCTTTCAGCGCTAAGCAGCAGAGCCAGTGACGGGTAGCACCTCCTGAAAACAAAACACACCTTCAGTGCGTCCAGCACACCTCGGTTCTTAAAAGTCTGATAGAGCCTTTTCCGCAGTTCGTCTTGGGACAGCGTCTCCCTTTCCACCAAAGCCATCCTGCCCTACAGCACCAGGGGAAAACAGGGCAGGGGGAAACGACACGTTACCGACACCCAGCTCGACCCCCGGCCAGTCAGCCGGCGAGCGCCCGCGCCGCCCC